GATGGATTATTATTAAATGTGGCCGTTCAAGTCCAAGGCTATTGGTAACGAAATCATTTGGATATCTTAGGCGGATGAGTTCAAAGACATTACAACAACAGGCAGCTTGTTTATTGTGAACACAAGAGCTATCAATAATAAACAATTGAATAGGTGTGAGGGGGATTTCGGGGAATTGCGTTAAATATTAAATTCATGGTCTGGCAAGAGGATAATTTGTAAACATGGGGAGCTAATTTGAAATTCATTTATGTGAGAAGAGTGTCATTGGTGTTTGAAATGAATTTAGAAAGTAGCAGACGTTTTGACGACAAAATCGTAACCTCAATCTACTGCCGTCTAATATGGAGTGTACCCTCGAAATATTCGTTATCGTCGTCAAATTGACTCGATTTAGCGATATCCGTCTGTCAGTCTTTCGTAATCATACTGTCTCTTCAACGAATTGGGATTTTATGTTAAAATTTGGGACACATCTGTACTTTGTCAGTAGGCAGATCAAATTCTTAAACGGTCCATACAATAGTGCTTTCCAATACTCAGTATTGTGACGATTTAAGCCACAATTTCTAACTGAATTGTTTAAATTCTGTATTTGAAGTGCGTAATGTATAGTACTTCCTTTATTTTCTAAATAGGTCCATTTACCATATGGGTGAGATTAAAAAAACTGCTACAAAGTCAACCGCCATAATTTTTACATTTTTTAAAACATTTTATGAAGGAAAGCAAAAAATGTCGGAAAAAGCATAAAATTTTAGATAAGTTTACCGAATGTTGCTATGCGCTTGCTTGAGGTGATCGATACTTTGGTATTTTTATACCCTCCACCTTGGAAAGGAGGGTATATTAACTTTGTCAATCCGTTTGTAACATCCTTAAATATTCGTCTTAGACCCCATAAAGTATATATATTCATAATCAGCATAAAATTCTAAGTCGATTTAACGATGTCCGTCTGTCTGTCTGTCTGTCTGTCTGTCCGTCTGTCTGTCTGTTGAAATCACGATACAGCCCACATTATTTGACGTAGAGCTCCAAAATTTAGCAGAGCTATTTGCATTGTGTCTAGGATGGTTGGTATTGAAAATGAGATATATCGGTCCACGTTCTGGTATAGTCCCCATATAACGGTACCTCCCGATATTCGGTATTTTGATGATTTATGCCACGTTTTTTCACGGATTTGTCTTAAAATTGGTATTTGTAGGTCATAGCAGGTCCCTGAGCGTGTGGCAAAACATTGCATGTATGGGTCCAAAATTTGGTATAGCCCCCATATAACGGTACCTCCAGATATTCGGTAATTTGATGATTTTTGCAACATTTTTTCACGGATTTGTCTGAAAATCGGTATTTGTTGGTCATAATGGGTTCCAGCTCCGGTGGCGAAACATTGCATGTATGGGTCCATGATTTGGTATAGCCCTCATATAACGGTACCTCCCGATATTCGGTATTTTGATGGTTTTTGCCACATTTTTTCACTGATTTGCCTAAAAATTGGTATTTGTGGGTTATAATGGGTCCTAGTTCGTGTGGCGAAACATTGTAATTATAGGTCCACGTTTTGGTATAGCCCCCATATAACGGGACCTCCCGATATTCGGTAATTTGATTATTTTTGCCACATTTTTTTCACGAATTTGTCTGAAATTTGGTATTTGTTGGTATTAATTGGTTCCAGCTTCGGTGGCGAAACATTGCATGCATGGGTCCATTATTTGATATAGCCCCCATATAAAGGTACCTCCCGATATTCGGTATTTTGATGGTTTTTGCCACATTTTTTCACTGATTTGTCTAAAAATTGGTATTTGTGGGCCATAATGGGTCCTAGTTCGTGTGGCGAATCATTGTAATTATAGGTCCACGTTTTGGTGTAGCCCCCATATTACGGTACCTCCCCATAATCGGCATTTTAATGGTTTTTGCCACATTTCTTCTAATGTTTATTTTACCCTAAGGTGGAGGGTATTAAAAGTTTGGCCCGGCCGAACTTAATGTTTTTTTACTTGTTTAGTGCCAACCTTGCTTTCCAAAATACTTCAGACAGAATAGTCGAACAGATTGGAATCCCCGGATACCATTGGTGGCCATTGTGCGCTGGAAATGAAGCGAGGAAACTCCTTATGTAACCATTTTTGGGTGGCGCGTGCTGAGTACGATGGTGCTGAGTCCTATTGGAATATCCAGGGTCTGCGGCCAAAATGTTTACGTACCCAAGGCTTTAATACACCATCCAGAATATTTTTGCGATAATATTCGGCATTTATTCTGATGCCGCGGTCGATCAATACTAGCGGAGAGCGTCCATCGGCTGTTATGGCGGCCCACACCATCACCATGGCCGGCGCTTGAGTTCTGCTGGCCAACCGAAGGTGCACATTTTAAGTTGACCTTTTTGGCAAGTAAACACGATAATTTAGCAAACTGCTGGACAACGAATGTTTTCTCAGCGTAGAAAGCGAAATTCGGCTGTTCACCACTAGGCCAAGCAAAGCAACTCTATAATTGTAACTCCCTATACACGGTATGTTGATGATTTTAGCGACATTATTCACAGGAATTGTTTCAACTTTCGTATTTGAATATCGTAATGGCCTATGACATTTCGGCATTTTTATGATTTAAGAGCATTTTTATACCCTCCACCATAGTATTTACCCTCCATACTATGGTGGAGGTTATAAAAGTAAGTTTGTCAAGATAGTTAAGTTTGTCATTCGGTTTGTAACACCTCGAAATATACACTTTAGACCCCACAAAGTATATATATTGTTGATCAGCATAATATTCTATGTCGATTTATCAATGTCCGTCCGTCTATGGAAATCATTCTAGCTTCCGAACGAAATGAAGTAGATTGATAAAATTTTACTCAAATGTGTATTATGTCTGCAGGACTTTTGGTATTGAAAATGGGCTATGTAGGTCCACGTCTTCGTATACCCCCCATATAACGGTACCTTCCGATATGCGATATTCTGATGATTTTAGCGACATTATTTACCGGAATTGTTTCAAAATTGGTACTTGAAGTTCGTAATAGATATTACAGAATAAAACAAAAAATGGGCTATGTAGGTCCACGTCTTCGTATACCCCTCATATAACGGTACCTTCCGATATGGGATATTTTGATTATTTACCGGAATTGTTTCAATTTTGGTATTTGAAGTTCGTTATTGATACTACATCCTAAGATAGAAAATGAGCCATGTGGGTCCACGTCCTCGTATAGCCCCCATATAACGGTACCTCCCGATATTGAGTATTTTGATGATTTAAGAGACATTATTTACCGGAACTATTTCAAATTTTGTATTTGAAGTTTGTTATGAATACTACAGCCTATGATAGAAAATTCTGTGCAGGTTCAGGTCTTCGTATAGCTCCCATATAATGGTACCCCCGATATTCGGTATTTTTTATGATTTTAGCGAAATTGTTTACCGGGATTGTTTCAATTTTGGTATTTGAAGTTCGTTATTGATACTACAGCCTATTACAGAAAATTGTCTGTGCAGGCCCTCGCTTTATAACCCCGATGATACCACCCTATATTCGGTATTTTGATTAATTTAGCTACATTATAAACAGTTTTTTTTTTTTCAAGTTTCGCATTTGAATATTGTAATAGCTTTTGACAAAAATTGCGTATACAGGTCCACGTCATCGTATAGATTTTAATAGAATTTTTAACGGATTTTTTTTTTTTTTGAAAATTTTTATATTTGTACCAAATGGTGTAGATATTTCAAAGTTCGGTCCGGCCGAACTTACAGCTTTTTTACTTATTAAAAAATATTTTTTTTTTGAAAATTCCTCCAAATGTCACTTTATTGATCTCCTCCAAATGTCACTTTATTGATACCTGCGAAGTATCAACAAAATATAATACCACCTACGATGTTTTCAGGTGATTCAATTTGTTTTTTTAATAAATGAATAATTGGTCCGATTTTCCTATCTTTGAACGCGACTTTAATTTGATTAAAAAATATATATTACGATGCACAAAGCTTGTATCAATTAAGTACGGATATGTATGTGCATATACGGTCGTCTTTGAATATTTCCAGAGACAAAGTCAGATCCCCAAAAGAGCATACCAAACAATAAATCTTTGTTTAAACAAATCAAATGACTACACTAATAAATGTCCTTTAGTCCGTTGTTACCTTCACACTGTTCTTAATGCTAGTGATTGCCCCTAATATCGTTTGTTTTGTTATTATACTCTCAGGGTATAAATCGTTTGTTACGATAAAAATTCGTTTCAAGACATGTATGCTCTATCTAGCGATGTATATCGATCTTTCAGTCTGTGCGCACGATAACTTTTAAAGGCAGTACCCGATTTGGTCCTAAGCTAGTACAACTTACCAAATTCAGATCAAGATCGTTGATTGGGCAAAATCGGTCCACTCCTTCAGGTTCCTACCCATCAATAAGTCAAAATTGTAAAAAAAAATAATTACCATAATGAGTAATAAACGGGTATTCCATTTCGTTTAATCGTAATCGTAATTTTTGAATTAGCCTTGGATTAGATGAAATATTCTGTATATCTCCCGACACCGTATTTTATTAGGGTTTCTCAAAATTTCACCATATTTTCAAAATGTTAATACTCTATAGCATCGTTATTTCTTTGAGACACTGTGCCATTTGTTTACATTTAGTATTTGAGATTAGTAAATCATTTGTTGTGCCATATGAATTTATGTTGACATTTGAGCGTTAACTAATTAAAGACAATTAAACATCTTCTGGCACTTTCCACCTCCTCGGTAAGTCGGTGATATTTAATGGCAATGCTGTACGGTGGCACCTTGACTAGGTAACAAGACATACGTCAAATACCAAACTTCTTGCCCCACCGCATAAACTGTCATTCATGTTTGCTTTGTGTTCCATATTATGCAAGTTTATAACCAGTCTTGGAGTCGACCGGACCATTTGCATGGAGACATAAAAGACACAAGAAACCGGTATTAATATCAATTTCTGGAAAAAAGAGACAATAGTTTTATATCGAAAAAATTCAACAGCCCAACAGTTCAGTTTATCTCAAGACGTGGAGAAATAAACATCCATTCTCGCAAAAATGAAATTTCAATTGGTGTGTCTTTTGGTTTGTGGCTTGGCTTTGGTAAGTTTTGCGATTGCATAATAAATCTTTGGGATACCTTTTTTAATACGATGAAACGTTTTTATTATTCAAAGCAGGCCTTTGCTGCTGCAAAATTCGAGCCTCGCACTCCCGAGGACGCCTTGAAGGCCCATGAAGAGTGTCGTGAAGAATACAATGTTCCCGATGAGATCTATGAACAATATTTGCAGTACAACTTCCCCGACCACAAACGCACCAAATGCTACATCAAATGTTGGGTGGAGAAAATGGGTATTTTCACCGAAAAGAAAGGATTCGATGAGAAGGCCATCTACAAGCAGTACACCCGCAACAATACCCAATATTTGAGTTCCGTTCAACATGGCTTGGAGAAATGTATCGATCACAATGAATGGGAATCGGATGTTTGCACTTTTGCCCATCGTGTCTTCTCCTGCTGGTTGCCAATCAATCGTCATGTTGTCCGTGCTGTTCTTGGAACACAAAAAGATAACTAAGCCAATTCCCAACGGGCTGTGAATTATATTAAATTGAGAATATAGGTAATTATATAAAAAAATTGGAATTGATATGAATATTGTGATAATTTTGTTTTAAAAATTTTTTACAAGAGAAATAAAAATTTAACAAAATTAATAGAACTTAAAATTATTTACTGGTATTTAATTCGATAATATTGCATTCCTCGTGATTGGATTAGTAAAATTAACATTTTTATAGACGGAGTTGAATTTCAAACTGCATTGGTCTATATACAAGATATTTTAGAAGAAATATATTTCAATCCTGTTCCTGTTAAAGAGGCTAATACTTTTTATTTTTCTTTTGTGTCCTAGTTGAGGAATCGACTTCTATACGGGGTCAAAGGATATTTAAAGAGTTTTGGTTAATTCTCGAAGGTTGTAGTTTTAATCAAAACATTCCCAAGCAAAGGAAATAATCAGACTTCCTACAAAAATGTTCATCTTTTTTTTACCAAAGATTGAGAATTCACGGTAGGAGCTACATTATTGTTGTTATACACTTATATCACTGTGACACCAAATCGAGTTAACAGTCTGGGGGACATTTTCTTTTGGGGTAAAGGCCTAAGTTAGTATATCAAGGACAGATCGCCGTGAGTCAATCTTTCAAGTCATCATGAAAATTATTGTGGTACTCCATTTTAAAGACGACATAACTTCAGTCAACTCCAATTTGGTTCCATTATTTCGTTTCGTCCTACACTTCTATATCGTTCACCTTTTTACTTTATCCGCTGCTGGTGTTGAACTCGGAATATTTTGATTTGAAATTAAATACACACTGCATGGTGAAGAACGTTATGTAATCCTGCGGTAAGCAACAGTAAAAAACACATATAAGACAGGTGGTCATATGTTAGTAGAGGTATTAAGAACTCTTCGGTAACTCCAGTTTGTAGATTTAACACCATGAGGTGTCAAACCCCTTGCGAGGAGCCCAGCTAGTTGGAAGTAATAGCTGATGAACACCAGTTTCCGACCATTTTGTCTAGTTATCAATAATTATTTCGTTAATAATTGTTTAACAATAAGCTTATATCCATTGTTGGATTCTATACCCTACAACACTATATCTTCAATAAGTTTGATATGTAACACCTCGAAATATTGGTCCTGGACCAACGATGTTATGTATGGATCTTCCTATCTCGTTCAGCTGAGTCGATTTAGCTTTAGGTCAGAGCAGAAGCCTACTGTTTTTGGAGACACGATCCCAAAATATTTAGGGTTGGAATAAAGCAAAAATCTAAAAATTTACTGATTTTGCAGCTGCTCTACAGGCCACAATTATTGAGCAATCACAAAAATGGCATGTGGAACGGATTTATGGCAAGACAGAAGTCTACCAACTTGAGTATAATGTTACGAGCGTAAAATAGACCTAACTTTTATGTTTTTGTTATCCGCGAATATTTTTAGCCCCGGCGAAATCACAGATACATGAAAAGGTCACTTTTGACCGTTACTTTGATGCTGATAGCCAAGATATCGGATATATAGCAAAATAGTAACAATCTATAAGTAAAAACAAGTAAGCAAAGGCTACAGTCGAGCGGGGTCGACCGTTGAATACCCTACAACACGATAATAAACGATACAGTTTATATAGGCGAGATACTGGAAAGAATTCCACAAGATATATTGATAAATAATAAAAGAAAACTATCAGGTTTCGTTCTCTAATTTTCGAATAATAGCAACTTTAACTAATTTGCTCATTTCCAATTTATTGGAAGATGTTGCACGTAAATGGTCTTCCTAGATCTGGAACCAATATTTCCCAAAGACCTATATTCTCTCAGAAGTGGCAAAAGATTAACATTTATTATTGGTTTTTGACTGAAACGCATCTATATGAGATACAGACATTTGACTATATTTTTCAACGAAATCAGCGTTAACGAAATAGTCAGAAGTGCGTCTTTCCTGTATTTGTGAATTCTCCAAAAAGTCACTGGAATGGACATTTTCGTATTTTGTCTACAAAAGTTGGCAAACTCCTTCACACATTGAATATTTTTGGATGGCCATCCAAAACTGCTTGGCTTTTGCAATGTCCGGTAACCCCCATTCAAATGTGCGTGAGGATCGGGCGATAATTACGACCTGCTGACAATTTTGCAGTTTTTTTGGTCCATTTCAACCCCTAAATATATGGCGATCATCTCCAAAAAGAGCCTTATCTTATCCCCCTATTCTGACCCTTATCTTATCCCCATGCAAAATTTCGTAAGGATCGGGCCATAAATGCGATCTGTATATGATATCCTGATATCCTAACTACTTAGTTTTGTTAGCTGTAGAAATATTACCAAATGTTTAATTCAAAATGAAAATATGCCAAAAATATGTCAAAATTGAAAAAATATGAGAAAATATTACAAAATCAATATTTTCATCTTTAGAGAGATATTTTTATGCGATTTTTTAGACGTTTTTTCTTTCCTGTCAAGGGGCCATTCTGAATTAATGAGAACTGTCGAAATCAGTTCAGCCGTTCAGATCTTTCAAGCATATCTTCTTTGATAGACATATATATCGCACATATTTTGCTACATATCCGATTTGTTGGATGTTAACATCAATGTAAAGGTCAGAACCATGACAAGGTTCATGGCTTCTTGATTTCGCCGGGATTTAAAATATTCGCGGTTTAATGAAAAATGTTGAATTTTTTCAACACAAAAGATATGGTCTATTTTACCCGCTAAATATTATCCGATGACCACCCTAATTGGGAGGCTTCTTCCCCGCCCTAAACTCTAGCTACATACGAAATTCCGCGTCGATTGGTCTATAATTGCGACCTGTATAGCTACTGCAAAATCCGATATTTCTTCAATATTTGGTCCATTTCAACCCCTAAACATTTGGCGATCATCTTCAAAAGAAATAGGCTTCTATTCTGACCCTAACCCCACCTCCATTTTAAATTTCGTGAAGATCAGACCATAATTGCGACCTATAGAGTGATTACAAATTAACATGGACAGACGGACGGACGGCTAGATCGACTCAGCTCGGCGAGCTAGGAAGATCTATACATACTTTCCTATAAGGGAATCCAATATTTCGAGGTGTTACATAAATTCTGGCCCAATCAAACTTAAAATACCCCCAACACATAGTGTTGTAGGGTATAAAAATAATGTTAGTTACTGGTCTTATCATATCTAGTCATGAATTGCTGGACTGATTTTTGCCATACTCATCAATTCGCAATGGCTTCCTTACAGAAAAGGATAAATCCTTAGAAATGCTCAAAAATAGGCTGAAAAAGTGAATATTCTTTCTTTGGACATTTTAAATATCTATTTATTTATTTATTTCTATTTTTGTCATATTTTGAACTAAGTTTAGATAAATCGGACACTTCCTTTGCGATTTATCGTGTTTATTGACAGACTGAGGGGCATGGCCGGATCATCCCTTAATTCCTTAAAATGGATTTCGTTGAAAGAGATCTGGTCTAAAACTGTTAATTCCAAGAGACAATTTGGACTATGTGATATATTTACTCTGTAGCCATGTAGCGGTAGTTATAAAATTCTTGGTAAAGTTTAGATCCCCAAATACCGATCAGGTGCAAGAATATACTATATTGTCACATGCCATCTGGTTTATCTCCTAAGAAGTACAGGGTTGCCCATATTCGACGGACCCATCTGGCAACGCCATAACTTTTGACAGAGATGTCACATCGCTTAATGACATACCGCGTTTGAAGCGTCAGTCCAAGCAGATTTTTACCATGAACCAATACACGCCACGCGAGCGCTCTGAAATAATTGAAATTTACATTCAACAGAAAAAGTCAATTGTGAAAACTCAACGTGCTTTTAAAACATTAAAAAATGTGAGAAGTGCGCCTTCTAAGAACACCATTAAGCGTTTATACGAAAAATTTTCGACTGGTAAGGCTCCTTCTAATCCGAAGAGGCCATATAAAAGTCGACCAAGGACATCGGCCGAGAATATCGCTGCCGTACGAGCCAGTGTTGAGAGGTCCCCAAGAACATCCCAAAAACGCCGTTCTCAGCAGTTGGGCATGGCTCGGTCCACTTTACAACGGATTATTCGCATTGATTTGCATTTGTTCCCATACAAAACTAAATCGACGCAAAGAATGTTGCCTGCGGACAAGCCTCGTCGATTGGAATGGGCCCAAAGGTCCGTGGAATATGGCAACCCTGTATTAAAATGTTGAATATGCAAATATGTGAAATTATTCTCTGTTCATCATAATAGGTTAAAATTTGAAACTTTGGAAGGCTCCTGGGACAAAATCTTTTCAGGACAGTAGTTATAGCCATGTGAGTGTGTTTCGATGTAAGTATTCGATTTGTGAATACTAGTAACACATAGCTTGTTCCTGATTTGAAAGATACATTTAATAAATAAATTCTGTATACGCTAAACTGTGCTGGAAAAAATTTGCGACATATTGTTGCATTTGGGACACAGAAATCCCTCCCTAATCTCGATTTTGGTTAATAAATGTAATGTGTTATATAAGGTATTATTTTTCTCTTTGTAACATGCAAAAGGAAACGAAATGTAAATATAGTTCCTTATGATAATCTTCATAGAATGACATTCTGAGTCGATTTATGCCTGTCCGTCCGTCTCTTCATGTATTTTTGTAAACAAAGTACAGTTCCCATTTATTGTCTGATTGCGATGCAAATTTCAACAAATCATTTATTTGGCCCAAGGACGAACCCCATTGATATTGTTGATAATCGGATCAGATTTGGATATAGCTGCCATATATAGTGCCGAATCAAATGAATGTTAGCACACACTGCCAAGTTCAGTCTTGAAGTATATCTAGCAATTTGGCATGCTCCCGTGTAGGGTTTTGTCCGATTTCAAATCCCTCTAATTTCAAATTACAACTGCTTTGAAGTTATAATACGCATTCAAAAAAGGTTCATAAATGGTAGGGTTTACTTCACATCAATAACCAGTTTATTTGTAACGGATAGCTTTGCTAAATATGCATAGTGGTGTAGGGTATCACTTTACTGTTCGATATTGATATAGGAATACAAATATAACTACTACCGAGAATTTGGCTGATAATTTATCGAATCTGGGAATATTACTATCTTCTAATTTTATTTTGGGCTTTGAGTTTCCTACCTTTACTTATTACTACATTTAACTCTAGTTAAATTCATATTAAACTACATCGCCCTGATATAGTTTATTTTTATTTGTTGAATCGAGACAAACTACTTTTTGTCCTCAAATGGCAACATATTAATGCAAGAAACGATGTAGGAGAATCATTGGACCTATATTTGAGCCATGAATTTCCTCTCCTATTTATTTGCTAAAATTGCAGACAGATGTCATATAAAATTATTTATTTCATTTATAGCATGCGTCAAGTGCCATTTTGAAGATTAAAGAATCTATTTAAAAATGTACGGATATTCTCTCACTGATTAAGAAGAAAAATATTTACAAGTGTCTTACAAAAAATAATAATAATAATAATAATAATAATAATAATAATAATAATAATAATAATATTAAAAAACCTTGTCATTATCTTCGAAAACAAAGCTGAGTACATCTTCGCATGTAAATGAACTTGACAATAGTTAATGATGTTTGTTTATTCCACAAATGGCAGATTCCGTCGAGAGACGAAAGCATTGAAATCTGTAGAATACTAAACATAGATTTCTTATCAGCCTAACTGAAAAAAAAAAAATAAAAAATTCAAAATAATATTATTTTTATGTACCTAAAAAAGGGTACTCAATTTGCTCACGGTATACATATGTACGAGTATGTAGTATATGGGCTAAACAGATTAAAACAGATTTGTCAATATTAAGGTCTGAAATCAAATTACCGAAAAAACGGTACTCAAACTAAAAGTTTTTCGTCAGTTTTAGGTAGAATTCCTAATAGGCAGCAAGCATTGACGGCGGGAAAAACGGCAAAATGAAATCGTGTCAATCAGTACTCAGCATCGTGCTCTTTATATTATTATGCCAGGTTCATATCCAACAAAGATTAAATCTGTCTGCGTTTTTTAATATTTGCGTAAAATATCTAACTTACAGCATTTGGTGGCGGCTGACATAAATAAACACGAGGGTTATGTTTTGGGCAAATGTTTGGAACGTTATGGAGGCCCCTCCTATGAAAATGCCGAACGTTTGAAACGTTTCAAAGACTGGTCCATCGACTATGAGGAATTGCCCTGCTTCACGAACTGTTATCTCGCCGACATGTTTGACTTCTACAATGAAACTGACGGCTTCAGCGAGCAAAAAGTTATCGACAAATTTGGCGCTTCCGTCTATGAAGTGTGCAAACCCAAATTTTCCGAGGGCAAGGATAAGTGTGAAACTGCCTACAAAGGTTTCCATTGCCTGGTCAATGTAAGTATTCGAACAAGTTGTGCGGTTTTCACTCGAACTGGCGATTGAACAGGCAATTGAGTTATTTAAATTAAAATTCCTTTGAATTAGCTTGAAAATGATCCGTTCGTTGTAATTGATGGCATGGACAACATTGATATGGATGCCAAGCTGGCCATGAAGGATTGCTTGCATCGATTTGATCGTTCGGAATGGCAACTTTTCGGTGAGTACAGCCGCTTCCCCGTTAAAGAGCCCATCCCCTGTTATTCGCGTTGTTTTTTGGATAAATTGCAATTATTTAATCATCGCTTGCACAAGTGGGATATTCGAGGTTTGAATACAAAATTAAATATATCTGTGGAGAATGCCAATACCAGTGCCTGTGAAGCTATGGCTGTGAAACGTAATCGCAATATTTGTGCATGGATGTATAGAGAATTTACATGTTATGCCATGGCTAGTATTGCCAAGGAGGAATTAAAAAAATGAGAAATGATGACAATGTGTTAAAAATAGAGAAATTGATATTCTTAATAAATATAAAATAAAAAGTTGAAATAATTAAAATAGTATTTCAAACGTATTTAAAACCATAGTCGAAAAACAGAAAAACAGGAGATACATTTAAAACAAATTTTTCAAATGCAATTCGTAATATTTCAATTGAAATTCAGGAGCTGCCTTTGTAATTCCTTTCATTCCATCTTATATTCAAATTAATTAATTTGAAATTCAAATGTACTCAATTTTTAATTATTTTTTTTTCATTGAAGTTCGAATTCCTCTATTTGTTTAATTAACTCTTTGCACAATTGGAATAATTCGAATTTCAGATAAAAAAAATTCGATTTAAATATGAAAGAATTCTGATTTCAAATCAAATAATTCGAATTCAACGAAAATTTCATTTTCAAACTACAATTGTTTGGGTTTAAGAATTGGAGCAAATGAAAAGTTACAAACTACAGCGGAAATATTCGGATTAAATCTGAAAAAATTATTTTTTTAGGTTTTTGTACTTTCCCCTTTCTAAAAGTTTTTCCCATGCAAAGTGTACATTTCGACGAACGTAGTAAAAATTAATTAACCAAGCCGTTTCATAAAAGATACCAGAAGGAGTGTAACAAGGTATCACATATTCTTGTACCAGCGAATGTTGTCAATATTTGTCAATTGGAATATGCGAAGTTTTAAAAAATCGAACACTTATTTCACATTTTATGAGAGTGCTTGAAAAGATGCACAGTTCTTTTGTAAAAGCTAATACATTCAGAGACCTGCTAGTCCATTGTGTTCATTCTAAATTTAAGAAAAAAAAAAGAGAAAGAGGGAAACAATGGAGAGAAAAAGGATGAAGTCTTGAACTTTTTGTCACAGTGTTCTGTGAAAATTTAGGTCTGATTTAGCTATCGAGATCAGCGATCTCGATCTCTTCCCAGATATAACACTCTTTTCATTTATTTTTGGTTGCAATCTTACGGAGTAATATTTACAGGGTGAGATGAAAAAATTGCAACCAACTCCCGACTGCTGTCATTTCTAAGCCACTTGTCCGACAGTTAAAATTATTCCAGTGACAGCTCATAATATTGTTTACAAGTGTACAAAATCATTTTGGTGAGAATTTTCCAGAAAAAAAGTTATTCGTGATGGAATTCAAGGGTCATAGTGTGATTACTTTATATTTGGCTGGAAAACCACAAGTGGCTATCATTAGAGCATTCCAGGATTTAAATGTGAATACATCTTTTGTGTCTCGTACCATCGCTCGTTTCCGTGATACTGGTAGCGTAACCGGCGACGACGAAAGAAACGGACGGAAAAAACAGCAACATCAGCAGACATGGTTCGAAAAGTAAAAAGCGACTTAATCGAAACCCGCGTCGCAGTGACCGAAAAATGGCTCATGAGCTGGACATATTTCGCAATATTTCATTCGACAAATATTAAAAATTGAGATCGGGGTAAAGCCATTGATATTCCAAAGGGTACAAGAACTTACACCACAACAGAAAGAAAATAGACTCAAAAGAGCTAAAGAGTTGCTTCGCTTGGTCGAAAGTGGTGAACTGTCAAATTCGGTTTTCTCCGATGAGAAAACATTCGTTGTCCAGTAGTTTGTAAATGTAATGTAATGATCGTCGTTGTAATGATCGTCTTTACTTGTCAAAGAGATAAGCTGAAAATGTGCACCTTCAGTTGGCCACCAGAACTCAAACGTCGGCCATGGTGATGGTGTGGGTCGCCATAACAGCCGATGGTCGCTTTCCGCTAGTATTAATCGACCGTGGCATCAGAAACAATGGCGAATATTATCGCGGAAATATTCTGGATGGTGTATTAAAGCCTTGGGCACGCAACAATTTTGGCCGCAAACCTTGGACATTCCAACAGGACTCAGCACCATCGCAATCAGCACGCGCCACCTAAGAATGGTTACAAAATGAGGTTCCTCGCCCCATTTCCAGCGCACAATGGCCACCAGAATCTCCGGATACCAATCCGTTGGACTATTGTGTGTGGAGTATTTTGGAAAGCAAGGTTGGCACTAAAAAAATACCGCGGGGAACTGGCTAAAATACGGCAGAGCAACATACGGGCAGCGTGTGACGGTTTCATTGGCCGTTTGAAGGTCATAATTTGCAAAGTGACCAATTCGAACAAATCTAAACTTATTCTAAAATTTGATGCTAAATCAGACATTTTTTGCTTTCACACAATAAAATGTAAAAATTATGGCATTTAACTTTGTTGCAGTCTTTTTATATCCTCCACCATAGTATGTAGGGTATATTAAGTTTGTCATTCATTTTTTGGCGACATTATTCACCGGAATTGTTTCAAATTTGGTATTTAAAGTTCGTAATGGTGTAGTATCCAGAAATAAGACAGAAAATTGTCTGTGCAGGTCCACGTCTTCATATAGCCCCCATATAACGATCCCTCCCGATATTCGGTACTTTGTTGATTTTAGCGACATTATTCAACATAATTCGTAATAGAATATGCACGTCCACGTCTTTGTATAGCCCCCATATAACGGTACCTCCCGATATTCGGTATTTTGATGATTTTATCTACATTATTACAGATTTTTTTTTAAGTTTCGCATTGGAATATTGTAATGGCTTATGACAAATGTTACCTTTGCAGGTCCATGTCGTCGTATAGAGCCTAATATAACAGCTACATTCGGTATTTTTAAGATTTTAACAGAATTTTTGAAGGGTTTTATTGTTTTTGAGAATTGCCAAATTTGTTCCAAATGGTGGAGGGTATTCAAAGTTCGGCCGGGCCGAACTTACAGCTCTTTTACTTGTTTATCTCACCCTGTATATATCACTCGAAAGGTGTTGTCGGTCTCCAAATCGATTGACTAGATGTTAATGGAAGTGGTTCTATGTGCTGCGATGATTTAACTGTTTCCTTTGCTTGAGTTCTAGTAAAGACGTGAGCAGTTCATTCAAAACATTTTTAACAATTCCCTTCTTTGCCAAGACAGAGACAACTGACGTTTTAAAGGACAATATTTGCGAAACCATTGATTAAATACAGCTGCACATAATCGATAATGTGTTTAAAAATTGGACCGATATTGTAAGCTACTGCAGAGTCATTATGATAATAGAGTCAATTCCCGTCTACCCGTCTGTCTATCTGTCTGCCTTGCTGGCTGGTCTGCACGATAACTCTCTAAGGAAGTATCCGATTTGGTCCAAGTTTGGAACATCGTAAGATATTATCAAATTTATATCGAGTTCGCAAATGGGCAATATCGGTCCCCTCCTTCTGGTACCTCCACCACAAAAGGTCGAAATTTTCAAAATAATATTTTACTGCACAGACAGAGAAGGATAATCCTATTTTGCTCCAAATTTGCAAATCCCAATATTTACATTAGTGACAGATCAGGTGCGAAAATTGACAATATCGGTTGACTCCACAAAGTACCTCTACCACAAAGGGTTAAAATTTTGAATAATTATAACTCATGTAAAATGAGATATAAGAGTCCGATTGTCTTCAAATTACAAACATAAAAATACGTTTATTAACTCAAGGACTGGTGTGAATACCAAAGACTGGTGTGGTAGAGATGTGACCATTCCTTCTGGTACCTCCCCCAAAAAGGGGTCAAGTTTTCAAAAAAAAAAAAAAAAAAAAAAAAATCACTCAAATTTCACTCATACAAAAATTTCTGCTATCACAAATCTATATATATAAATGAAAGTTGTGTTAGTTACTACGCTTATAACTTAAGAACCGCTGAACTGATTTTAATGATTCATACAAATTTGGAATTGTCTCCTCTCCGAAAAGGATAATATCCAAAAAAATCGTGTAAAAATGTGATATATTAACATTTTCATTTTGACTTTTGAAATGTACAATAGTAATGTTTTATTTTGCATGATTTTTTTACATTTTGACTTACTTTTTTCTAATGTACATTTGTAGTGTTTTTTATACCCTACAACACTATGTGTTGGGGGTATTATAAGTTTGATTGGGCCAGAATTTATGTAACACCTCGATATATTGGTTTCCCATATAGGAAAGTATATATGGATCTTCCTAACTCGCCGAGCTGAGTCGATCTAGCTATGTATGTCCGTCCGTCCGTCTGTCCGTCTGTCCATGTTAATTTGTAATCACTCTACAGGTCGCAATTATGGCCCGATCTTCACGAAATTTAGAATGGAGGTGGGGCTTAGGTCAGAATAGAACCCTATTTCTTTTGGAGATGATCGCATAATATTTAGGGGTTGAATTGGACCAAATACTGAAAAAATGTCAGATTTTGCAGTAGCTATACAGGTCGCAATTATTGACCAATCGAAGCAGAATTTCGCATGTAGCTAGAGCTTAGGGCGGAGAAGAAGCCTACCAATTTGGGTGGTCATCGGATAATATTTAGCGGGTAAAATAGAGCATATCTTTTGTGTTAGAAAAAATTCATAATTTTTCATGAAACCGCGAATATTTTAAATACCGGCGAAATCCCAAAGCCATGACAAGGTTACTTCTGACCTTTACATTGATGTTAACATCCAACAAATCGGATATATAGCGAAATATGTGCGATATATATGTCTATAAAAGAAGATATGCTTGAAAGATCTCTTATATGTCGAGAACGGCTGAACTGATTTCGACAGTTCTCATTAATTCAGAATGGCCTCTTGGCGGGAAAGAAGAAACGTCTAAAAAATCGCATAAAAATATCTCTATGAAGATGAAAATATTGATTTTTTAAAATTTTCTCATATTTTTTCAATTTTGTCATATTTTTGGCATATTTTTATTTTGAATTAAACATTTGGTAATATTTCTACAACTAACAAAACTAAGTAGTTAGGATATCATATACAGATAGCATTTATGGCCCGATCCTTACGAAATTTTGCATGGGGATAAGATGAGGGTCAGAATAGAAGCCTACTCTTTTTGGAGATAATCGCCATATATTTAGGGGTTGAAATGGACCAAAAAACTGCAAAATTGTAAGCAGGTTGTATTTATCAACCGATCCTCACGCACATTTGAATGGAAGTTACCGGACATTGCAAAAGCCAAGCAGTTTTGGATGGCCATCCAAAAATATTCAATGTGGGAAATAGTTTGCCAACTTATGTAGACAAAATACGAAAATGTACATTCCAGTGACTTTTTGGAGAATTCACAAATACAGGAAAGACGTACTTCTGACTATTTCGTTAACGCTGATTTCGTTGAAGAATATAGTCAAATATCCGTATTTCATATAGATGCGTTTCAGTCAAAAACCAATAATAAATGTTAATCTTTTGCCACTTCTGAGAGATTATAGGTCTTTGGGAAATATTGGTTCCAGATCTAGGAAGACCATTTAAATTAGTTTAAGTTGCCATTATTCGAAAATTAGAGAACGAAACCTGATGGTTTTCTTTTATTTATTATTTGTCACAATATCTTGTGGAATTCTTTCGAGTATCTCGCCTACATAAACTGTATCGTTTATTATAGTGTTGTAGGGTATTCAACGGTCGGCCCCGCTCGACTGTAGCCTTTGCTTACTTGTTTTTATTATATTTTTGAATTTGAATATTAATACCAATTTATTTAATTGACTTGATTTCTTGAGAACTGAAATTGATGGCGGGTTACATGGAAGTGTAGTACTAAATTATGTGGTGGCGAAACGGAATAGATGATATCGAAATAATTTAACGCGGTCACACCAAAGTTAAAAGATAATTACTTTTTCAAAATCGCTAAAAAATCACGAAAAATAGATCTCATTGCAAAAATTCTCAAATCGGGAAAAAATCGAAAAAAATTTTCAATGGAATCGAATTTTAAAATAATAGTACATTCTATTGACAAACTATGTAAGGATCTTTAAAGATTTGCTGTAATACAGCGAACAAGTTTAAGATTTTTTTTCAATTTGTTACTCTTTTTTTTGTTAATTTTTCAATTTATATTATCATATTGAATTCAGTGAATTTTTTGTGAACAAAATAAAAATAATTTTTCCACTATATAAAATTTTTAAGCTAAAAATGAAATAAGTGCGAAATAGGATGTTAACTGACATCTACCTTTCAACTCCAGGGCCTGCATCGTGGTTCAGCTGGAATATGCGAACACATTTAAACAAACAAAAATGACCAAAAAAAGTCTGATGGGTCTCATTTAAAAGCGTGGACCTACTTCTTTCATGTGATAATAATCCGTCCAATGAGAGCTCAAAATGCAAAATTCTTTGGAAGTACAATCAGTAAAATCCCAAATTTAAAGGGTGCAAAATAGTAGAGCGAATGGGACTTTTAGTAAGAAAAGGATTTCTATCCTTCCAGAAATTCTTCCCAAACATTCAAAATACCTTAAATCGCTTTTGCAGGTCATGATATCGATCATAACTCACGGATAAGGGTACAGCCCGATTTCATATTATATAACCATCGTATGAATTAAGCTATTTTTGTGGTCTTGGCGACTTTTTTTCATATTTTGACCCTTATTTGGCTTCTTTGTTTCTAAGGGGGTAGAGAACCTCTTCGTATAAAATTTTAAATTTTCAGAGTAGGGCCCATTTTGGTCTTGACCACATTCATCAAATGATTTGGCTAAAAATAGTATTTATGCTACCCTGGGGTAGGGAACCATCATACAGATAATTGCCACATCGGAATTTATTTAAGTAAAGTCCCCACATTGGAGTGTCCCCAAGTCCACTTTCACATCTAATGTGTGGCCAGAAAAGAAAATTTTGTATTCTATTGAATTTGTAACCCCCGAGAGAATATTGGTTGGGCTACGTTTTGGTATAACCCTAATATGAATGTATCCCTGATTTCAGCTATGACCGTGGTCTTGGCCACGTTTTTCAACTGATTTCGCCTTTATTTGGCATCTTGGCTTTTCTATTTCGAGGGTCTTGACCACATTTTCCAATCGATTTTGCTGTATTTAGAGAACCATTTGTGAGTAGAGAACCGTCTTACAGAAAAATGTCAACATATAGTCCCCAGGGCCACCGATCTACAGTGAGTTTTACCGATTGACGGACAACAACACGGGCATTGTTGATTCGTCATCGAATTTTACTATGAACAAGGACATAGACTTCTTGGAGACTCTAAAGCGTAATTTTAGGAGCTATGGTAATAGGCGTAAAAGCGTAATTAACTTTGACTATTCAGAAATTATTTTACCCTCCTTACATAGGTATTTATTCCTATTTAGTCGGATCAATATTTATATTAAAATTTGTTCACCTTTATGAGCCAGATTTGTGAAATATTATGATATACAAAATTTGCATCAAAGACTAAAACTACGGGCCGGCAACGCGGACCGGGCCAGCTAGTGTTATATATTTGCAAACCCTTTCTTTTACCTTACCCACAAAGGGCCACAATTTTCAATTCTTTTATCTGTCATAACTTGCGAAAAAAGCCAGTCAGTCAGCGATTCTTTACATATTGCTGTATCTAAATATTTCTCTCAACCAGAATCTGCAGATGAATATGGATTTTATGATTTCGAATAAAATTGGATATTAATGTCCGAGTTTCTTTTAATTTTGTCCATGTCAATATTTTTATATGTATTAGATGAAGTATGAAAACGGAATACTTCGGTCGACTTTACCTGGTAACTCACGCGCTCCACATTTTCTAAAAATTATTACATATTTCATGTAAAGTGAAGGAAGTAACCAATATAGTCCATACGTAACATATCGCAATATTTAAATATTAAATATTTTTTTTGGCCCGAACATATTGGTCCATTCCTTCGTAACAACAATTTAAATAAGCAAAACCTACCGATACTCTTTAACTTGTTGCGATTTCGTTTTAGTATCATCATGGTAAGCACTTTTACCCAAAACTTTAACATCGATTTTATAGATATTTCTCATGTGCTGACTCTCATTCCCAATAAAAATTTTAAATGTTAATTTTTATTTTATAAAATATTCATATAATTATTATTAAATAAATCGCATATTGCACATATGGTTCAACAATTATTTTTTTTTTTTTTTTTTTTTTTTTGTGTACATTTGATTGTTGTCTTCAATGGTACATTATGGAAATCAGTCCACTATATTTTGCTTGTATTTATAGAAATTAATATACGCCAATACTGTTTTAAACTCGGAATGCATGCCACACTCACAAACTTACGGACAGACATACGCACACATACACATGATTTTCCTCATTTCGTGTGATGACATTCGTTAGTTCGTTCATTCATTCAATTATTATGATCGATGCTATTGGAATTACTGATTTTTCGCAACGCTCTGCGATAGGCCACTGAACCATTAGTGTTGTAATTCAAACGTTCCCAGCAATTATACTCATCGTACATCCAGGCGCATACGTTCATGGTGCGGCGCTTCTCATCACTTATGCGGCAAATGGAAATATTAGCCGATTCATCGCGTATCGGTCCAAAAGCTTTTAACCAATTTTTAACAATCCACTGGTAATTGTCATCGTATAATTGGGCCTTATTGGCGAAACAGTTGAAGAGGCAGGGAATGCGTTCGCCGGCCGGAAAATGATAATATTCCAATAATTGTGACATGCTGGTGGCCTTCTCCTTAACGCACGTCACCAAATGCGAGTAGGTAACAATGACATTCAATTCAGCCTAATGGACGGATGGAGGAAAGAGTGGAGGGGCGGGGCGCACACATGCAGTGGAATAATGAAAATGCATTCGTTACTGTATGGAGAAAAATTTAATTTTCAGACATTGTATGAGTCACTTACCTGTTTTAAACACTTTAAGCCCTTGAAAGCGTAGGTGCAGACATTACTGAAGGGGCGATTAAATTCATAACGGCAATAATTGTACATATTTGCACCCAAGTCATCGACAATTTTTTGTTTATTCCAACGATGACGTTCAATGTCAAACCATCCCTTTTCGGCTGCCACACAACGGGCAAAGCAGGGTATCTCCTCCTTGGTCCAGTTGGCGTAGGTATTGAATTTTTCCAGCAAACGTTCGGTGACCGTCTCATTGTGATGGCTTATATCTTGCAAGCATTGACGCAAGATATCGCTGTTCATATCATGTTCCAAATTACATAATGCCTAATAAAACACACAAACACACCCAAGGTCAAGATGAGAAATTATTTTCAATTAAAAACAAATATTATTTTGCTTGGAAATACCTACTTGCGTTATTAGAATTGTGGCGACTGTGAAGAGTACCGAATAATACTTCATTGATGATTGTTTTCCTTGGCAATGTCCAATTTGAACTGTATATTAACCGCTCACACCCAGCGAGTCTGGACCATGAAAGAATATACTGGCACTGTGATGCTGGTTCGGTTCTTATCAGCATCAGAACACTCGATTCGAATAGTCAACGCAAAGCGCCAAGCGTATAGAATGAATGAGAAATTTCAGGTTAAAGGTTATCGCTATCATCGCCAGCGTCGTCGCCATCACTGTCGTCATGGTATTGGGCAACTCTCACAATACTCTGTCGATAGTCCATTGACGACGACTCATTGGTTGTTGTCAATAAGTCACTGGCTGCACTAATGGACTAGGTCAAAGGTCAAAGAAAGAAAACCAACAATATCGAGAGTAACAATAAACTTGGAACGTTGCGAGCACTCCCCAGGGAGAACACAAGTTGTAGTAAGCGTGATTTTTGAATAAAAAAGAATAATGACATTTAAAAAGAAAAAAATTATTATTTTTCCAAAAAATACCACTGTATTATTTGCGCCATTAATTTTTCAAAATAATTGTCAATTTTTGACGAGGGCAATAACAACAAGTACAATGTCCTCTGAGATTATGTTATGACATTAGAGTCAATGCTCTGTAAAATCCAATCTGTTTGTAATCAAGTGGAATTTCGAATTGCAGACTGTCATGAAATTGTTGAAATTTTTAATAATTTTCCCATACACCATAACAAAAAAGGAAATAGGTGTTAGGTATGATCGGACTCAACATTTTATACCTTCCACCATAAGAGGACGAATAAAACTGAGCTTAACGAAAGTTTTTTTAATCCTGTATGCAATTTTCCACAGAAGGTAAGCGGTTTTTCGCGAAATCCAAATACCAAAAATTACACAATTCCTTGTGGTAATGTGGCAAGAATCATTAAAATATCGTAATGTGAAAACGAATATAATTTTTTTCTGGGAGAAGGTACCAAAGATCGGGCCCCAAATATCATGTTTGAACGAATTTACGAACTTTGTCACAGAATATTAAAGCTCAAACATGTACCAAGGGTTTTTTTGGATCCTTTCCTAACAAGGACATGTCATTCAGCTTAATTGTAGCCAGGGAATAACTACTTATTTAGATTGATATGTCATTGTTAAGAAAGGGGTAAACAATCCGATTTATAATGACTTTAATATAATGACTTGGGAAATACTTCTGTTTGAATTACAACTCCATAAAAAGTTCAATAATTTATTCATAAAATGTTTTCTTAACTTAAATTTAATATGGAAATATTAGCCGATTCATCTTAGAGTTCTTCTTCATAGCGCAATTTGAGGAAAAAATAATCATATACATCTGTTAAAATCAGAGATGAAATATGGACCCGCGTTTCTGTAAAGCCGTCATTTAATAATAGAAACGGATTAATGGACCCTATTTTGCTAAACTACTAAAGTAGCTAAGCTAAAAGTAGCAAAATATGGCCCATTAATCCGTTTCCATAATAATATAGGCATCTCTAGCGGCGGGTCATTCGACTTACTTCGAGAAAATGGGCATAAGAGGCATTTTAAATAAGTAAGCAAAAGCTCTAGTCGTGCGGGGCTGACTATGTGATGTCATACAATACTACAATATGTTAGAAGCCACCTTATGTCCAAATCCATTTTGGAAGATCCCGTGTTTGAAATTATGTCATGGAGCACTGTCCAGATATTACCATAATCCAATGGTCATCGTAAATTCTAGACTTTTTCCCTGACATTAATTCTCTTCTCATGCAAACTTATGTGTCAATTAGTTTAAATTGTGTGATCAGAATTTTTTCTGTTTTTAGTTCATTTGAACCCATACGTATCCCCAAATTTAGACTCATCTATATGATTTGCTTATCTACGATATTTGGCTATATTCGTCAACGAAATCAGCATAATTTGTTTGTGTGTTTTGGATATTGCCTGTAAGTTATATTTAGCGTTTCAGTAGAATGGAAATTTTGGTATTTTTCACACAAAAGTAGTGGTCCATTCTATCCGTTGTCCTAAACTCTAACTTAATGCGAGATTTCGTGTCCTTTGTTTTCTATTTTTGACCTTTATAACGGCTACAAAATCAGGAATATTTTTAGTTTTTTGTCCATTTCAACCCCTAAATATATTGCGGACATCTTTGAAAACAATAGGCCTAGCCTTCTAACCCTACCCTTGTGAAAACATTGGTGAGGATCCGACGATAATTGCAATTTGTATATGTATAATAACCCCAACATGTGTTGCAAAGTGAAAAATATTACAAAATCTATACTTCAATATTATAAGTCAAATTAAAAAAATCTCTTGCGATAAAAGTTATAAAAAAATAACAAAAAACAAGTTAGCAAAGGCTATAGTCGTGCGGGGCCGACTATGTAATACCCTACAACACTACAATATGTTAGAAGCCACCTTATGTCCAAATCCATATTGGAAGATTTCGCTTTTGAAATTAGGATTTTGCCGAATATTTATGCACTCCGTCGTGCTGTAAGTTGTTGTAGTCCATTTACAGCTAAATATAATCCAATGGTCATCCAAAATGCTAGAATTCTTCCCTGTCCTTAACTATCTTCACGGCTGCAAAATCAAGAAAATTTTTATTTCCATTTCAAACCCTAATATATTGCGGACATCTTTAAAAACAATAGGCCTAGCCCTTTTGAGCCCAACCCTACCCTTGTGAAAATGTTTGTAAGGATCGGACGATATTTGCAATTTGTATATAATAACGCCAACCTGTGTTGTGAGGTGAAAAAATATTACAAAATATACATTTCAATACTAAGTCAAATTGAAAAAATCGCATGCGATAAAAAATATGAAAAAATAAAAAAATGTCACAAAATACTACAAAATCTATATTAACATCATTATTGGCATATTTATCTGCGTTTTTTTAGATTTCATACTATTATGCCAAGAGGGCATTCTGAATTGACAAAGGTTGTCAAAATCGGTCTAGGCATTTTTGAGATAAAGGAATTCTAGCTATCATCCCTTTCCTTTTTATATACACACTGTATAAATAAATTTATATATATTCTATCGGCATCTACGTAATGGTTAGAATTACGTCAGATCTAAGCTCTAGGCTCATGCTAACTTCCGCGTCGATTGGTCTATAATTGTGATCTGTAGAACAAGTACAAAATCAGGAAATTTTTTAGTTGTTGGTTCATTTCATTTCTGGCCCTATCCCCACCTCAATTCTAAATTTCGTGAAATTCGGGCCATAATTGCTACATGTAGAGTGATTACAAATTAACATGGACAGACGGACGGACGGACATACATAGCAAGATCCACTCAGCTCGGCGAGATATTAAGATCCATATATACTTTCCTATGTGGGAAACCAATACTTCGAGGTGTTACATAATTTTTGGCCAAATCAAACTTATAATACCAACAACACATAGCGTTGTAGGGTATAAATATAAAATTACCCTATCCCCATGCAAAATTTCGTAATAAATGGATTACAATTGCGACCTGAATATAACATTCATTTATTACATAATTTACAATTCCATATTGTTTGTCAAATTGAACAAATCTCATGCGATAAAAATATGCCAAAAAAATATATATAAATGAAAAAATATAACAAATAATATTCACTTTTTTAGTGGCATGTTTTTATGCGATTTCCTAAGATGTTAACCTTTTCTGGCAATTCCTATTAGAGATAATTGTCAATATCAGTCCAGCGGTTATTGAGTTATAAGTGGTCTAACTTTTGAGTGCGTATTGTTCATCAAAGTCCATTCTATTTAATCTGATGGGTGAAGATATATATAGGATATATATCTAAATCTGAACCGATCTCTATAAAATATTGCAAAGGTATTTCTAAGCTGTATGTGATAGTTGACACCAAATATCGTTGTTGTGGAGAGTATTTTACTAGTCTGGGGGAGTAAAATACAAAATCGGATGAAACATTATATTGGACCTATAGCAATATCTTAACCGATTTTCACCAAATTTCATACATTTTCGTCGTTAATATGTGTTAGTATTTACCATTTGGTGTACAATAAACTTGAAATCGAGTAAAGATATAAAAGGGAGCTATATCCAAATCTGAACCGATCAGGAAAAAATTTTGAGATGCATTTGATATATTTCTCCGAGTATTGTTGTTACGTAATGCATATTACGGCTGTAGAGTAGAAATTTAACACATCGGATGAATAATATATATATAAGCTATAGTTATATCTGAACCGATTTCCACCAAATTTGACACACTTGTTTCTAGGCTCAATTTGGTTATATGTGCCAAATTCCATCCAATTTGGCCCAATATTAAACCTTTAGTGCACAATAAAAGGCAAATCGCACGAAGATATATATGGGAGCTATATCTATATTCTGACCGATTATCTCCAATTTCCAATAGGGTTCATCCTTGGGCCAAACAAACGATTTATGCAAAATATCATCTCGATCGGGCAATAAATGTGACCTGTACTTTGATTACAAAAATACATGGACAGACGAAGGGACGGGCGGACATAAATTGACTCAGAATGTGATTCTATTCAGATCATCAAAAGGAACTATGGGTTTAACTCGCTTCTTTCTCTATGTTACAAACAAATGCACAATTGAGAATATCGTCAATTGAAAATGACAATATCGTCAATTGAAAATGTAACGTTCGAGATCTCGAAAACAAATGGGCCTATATGAGCGATATTTCGAAACTGTTACCAATATTGAAAAGATTTCCTAAGGGGTTTTTACCTATTACGAATCTGAAATGGCAGAATGTAGACCCTTCTAAATCATGATAATACAAAAAAAAAAATCCCGTCATATGGATGAAATATAAAATGAAACATACGAATTTAGACTAAAATTAAGGGAAATAAATCATATATAATTCCAAAACAATTTTTTAAATTACATAATTAGATAATTTAAATTAATCAAAAGTTGTTATAGATTTTGTTTAATTTATCTACAGTATTTTAAGCTTAACAATTATATCATCATTTACAATTAAGCATTTTTAAAATAAAATGAGGAACTTCCCATGTTTTTTTAAGTTCCATTTAAATATCCAAAAACAAAAACACCAGTAATTTCCCAATCTCTGC